CATTTTAATTGTTTTTACTTTTCCTCCCCACTCCTTCCCTTTGCCCTCCATTTCTAGATCCACCTCCCATTTGCAAATGATTTATCTCCCTGTTTCCTGTTATCTACCTTTTGCTTTGCTCTTTAAATTATTTACATTTTGTGTTTCTCATATAAAAGGAACAATGTGGTATTTAAGATTGTGTGCCTGATTTATTTCATTTAGCATTATGATTTCAAGGTGCATCCATTTTTCTGTAAATAACTCAAATTTATTCTTCTTGATGGCTGAGTAGTACTCTACTTGTACCTCATGTTCTTTATCCATTCATCTGTTTATGGATATATATCATTGTACTTTCTGAAGCAATTCTGGAAGTCTTCTTTCATGAATGTCTTTAGTTGTGCTGTTGTGGCTGCCTCAGTGTCCTGAGCTGATTCAAAATGTTTACCTTTCATGGTCATTTTGATTTTGTGGAAGTCACACAGTGTGAGGTCCTATGAATAAAGGAGATTAAGACACATTATAATGTTGACAGAATTTGCACACTGAGTCAGCCATGAAGATACTTCATGAAGGAGGACTTCTGGAGCTGATTTGAAAAGTGCCAAGAATGATGGGATAAGTATGGTTGAAGTGAGGTGGAGTAGAGTATGTGGAGGGTGTTTATTGGCAATATGTCTTTTTTTTGTCTTTCTGAGACAAGGTCTCGCTATGCAGTTCAGGTTGGCCTTGAGCTCATTTTGTAGCCCACGCTGGTCTCAAACTCCCAATGATCCTCCTGCCTCAGCCTCCTGAGTGCTGGGATTATAGGCGTGTGCCACCACACCCAGCCTGGCCATATGTCTTTTCTTGTAATAAATCTTAAAATTTTTATTTAAACATTTACCATATTTTGTATTCACAGCACATATATTTTTAATTCATGTTTGAAAAAACATGTCCATTGTTTTCCAATATTGAGAATTAGCTGACTTTTTCAGCTTCAGGAACTGAATCTGTTTTTTAAATGTTTGCTATTGAATTGGCTTAAAGAGGGCTCACCTGTAGCTGGGTGACCTGACCGGCTCTGGTCTCCTACATTCTCTTCTGGAATTTTCTGTTGTTCACTTTCCCTTCCAGGTGCACAATATCCTCCAGTCACAGCCAAGATCCCAAGATCCTCCCAGAGGCTCCCTTCCAGGTCTCATGCTCTATGCTGAGCTTTAGGACCATTGCCTTCTCTTTAGGACACAACCATATAAACTTATCAGCCATTTCTTTGGCACATGACAGTCCTTCAGTATGTGATAGCCCTTCAGTAAGACTAGTATGGAGATATGGGTGAATGGTAACACTTCGAAGTATTTTCCTCCTTTAACTTAAGCTTTTAAGGCTTTGATCTGAATGGCTGTCATTCTTCTAGGGTGGAGAGGGCTATGGGCCACCTAGGCTCTTGGAATCCTAAGGCCATATACCCACAATGGCTATCTGCTCTTCCTCTAATTCCCACTGAGGGAAATTACAGATGAGCAGTGACAAGAGTAAACTATTCCTATAAAAAGCAATGGAAAGGGTGCTGGGAGGCTGTAAAAGTCCTGCAAGACAGGCTCTACCTTTAAGAACATTCACTCTGAAAGTCATAAATAGAGAGAAAGAGCTAGACAGACATAGTAGGTTAATAATGACAGCAGGTAGGAGATGAGAAGTGAAGAGAAGTACTGAGGAGGAGGGGGAGGACTAGAGTCTTGCAACCTTGGGTCAGGGAGGGCCTTTTATGGGGAAGGACAGGAGCTGCAGCTAGACTTCTAAGATGAAGTTCAGTTACGGGGGAGAGGAAATAGTTACTCCTAACAGCCACATCCTCATGTTAGGGCCCATATTTTTACTGCAAAATTTCCTTTGAAGTCTCCCTAGTTGCTAGTTCATTTTTTTTTTTGTTTTGGTTTTTCTCCGGTACAGGGAATCGAACTCACAACCTTGCGCTTGCCAGGCAGGCACTGTGCCGCTGAGCTAAATCCCCAGCCCCCATATATTTGCTAGTTCAGATTTAAGTTTAGAACTGGCCCCTGCTGTCCCTTCTGGGCTGTACTTCTTTGCTTACCTTTGCCTGCTGGGTTTCTACCATTGTGGACTTGAAGGGTTCACTCTCCTCCAGGTAGTGGCAGCAGGAGGGATGAATCTCATATGTTGCTAGTCTTTGGCTGGGAAGACATCTTTTTACAGCGATACAATTTGCAAAAGAATTTTTTTTTTCCAGCTGGGTAGAAATCATGGATAATTTTTTGAGGCTTATGATCAGATTTCTTCCTCAGCTATCAAATGATTGAACTTTGAAGTTCACGTACATGTCAACTAAACTAATAATAAGTAATAACATGTTGGACAAGGAAAGAAGTAATAAGAAGCAAGAAGCACGCATAACATATAAATTTTTTTGTGGTTATTAAATAATGGAGAGTTGTCTGTATTCTTTTCCTTTATATGTGGTTGCAGCTTTTTTTGATTATCAAAGTTGCAAGATTTCCACTGATACTCATTGCAGGAACTTTTTCTGATTTCTCTCTCCTTACTGACCTCATGTGGTCTAGCCTGATGTGCAGCTCTTTCCAAGGCAAGGCACCTAACTCATTCAAAGGACATTTGTCCAATGACCTGATGAAATTAACTTAGGTCTTATGTATCTGTTATGAGGGTCAATCTTTATATCTCCAGATTTTATGGTGGAGTTAATTACTTCAATCTATTCATAATTTCAAGGGCTCAAAAATCTTTGTAGTACATGCTGTTCTAATGTGTTTCTGGATTGTACAAAATCAATGTGTACAAATAGAGCAGTTCAATTTCATAGTTGGAAAAAAAGCAACTTTAAAGTCCAGGTTGTCAGTATTGCATTTCTATGTCTGTTTTCATGAGAAGCCACTTTGAAGATATCAGTATGTAATACAACAATCATTGTTAATTCCCTACCACTTTGTTTGTAGCTCTGTATTGTCTGTACTGTTCTTTTGATATGTTGTAAAATGTTGTATGTCTGTTAATGTTTTCCTCCTTTTTAAAATAAAAAAAATAAAGTTCAGGTTGATCTTTCTAGGCCATATTAAGTGAAAAAACAACTGCTAGTAGAGAAACCATAAAATTATTATCATGCTCTTCATACCCTTTGCCCTTTTCTGATAAAGGAGCAAGATAAAAACCCAGACAACTCTCAGCAGTTTCTTACATGTGAAAACTGCATTAAGGAGCATCTTATCTGTAAATCCAACAGCATTGCAACATATTTTTGTGTTATACTTGCCCTCTTCTTGAACTTACCTCCTACTTGCCAAGACATAACTGAGGAGGGTTTCTGAAAGAGTTTCAAGAGCCAAACTTGGCCTTCCATACTTGCCCAGATTTGCAGAGCAGGACTATAGAGACTTGACTCCTTTCTGACCCTGGGGCACAATAACCTAACTGCCAGAGAGTCAGTCAAACAACAACGGGTGGTGTGGTGAGACTTGAAAGAAAAAATAAAAGCAAGGTTCTGTTCTCCCTAAGTTCCAGAGAGGAAATAGCCATAACTGTCTGAGCAAGTGAACTTGGTCTAGACCAAAACAAGCCCAAGATGAACAAATTCTTTTTGGTGTCTTGCTCTATACTAGTACATGATGACTGGTCTGTTCATAGCCCTACCTCTGAGCCCACTCTACTTCCCTGCCTCTTCCAAATAGCATGGCTTTATTTTCTGTTCAGCAAAGACTTAGTGAGTTATGTGTGTTGAATGTCTTCTAATTGTTCCTGTATCCTCTTTCCCACTGTGCTCTGTGTCCTCTGGGCTGACCAGTAGGGAGTGCCTGAAAGGGGTCCTTAGGCCTGTGGCCTAATGGCTTCATTCCTTGTGAAACCCTAGCAGGAGAGAAGAGTCTGGGATGCTTAATACCCAGCTCTGTCCAGTGGGATCACTAATAACCCTTGTCCAAGTAAAAAGTTTCTTCTTACTCTCTTTTTTTGGGTCCTGGAAATCCCGCTTCCAGACCTTGAGGGTTGATAATGGCCCTCCCTAGTGTACAAGTCCAAGTTACTTTTCATGCCTGTGGTTTACTTTGGCACCCCCACATGTAAATTTCCTAACTGTAATGTGTCAGCTGTTCCTGGAGGAGACCCTGACTAACCACTGTGGGCCCATGGTTAGTATTGACATGTAGTCTTCTGCTCACTGCAGTGGCCAGCACCCTCCTTCAGAGAGCAGTGGGTGGCACAGTGGACTGGATTGCCCAATCCTCTGCTGGATAACTCTTGGTAAATTACTTTTTCTCTTTAGATCTCTTTTCTAATATTAGACTAAATTAGATGTCCAAATTCCTGTTGTAGACTAAATGATATCCAAATTCCTGCTGATTTGAACGTGAGTTCACCCCAGGATATCCATTTTGAGTTCTGAGTTTTATACCCATTGTGGAGGGCACTACAGGCGTATTAATTCTCTGAGCGCGCTTCTCTCATTTAAGTACCTAACAACAGCCACGGACACGTGGGCAGTGGATTTTCTAGCAGCAGTAAGGATCCTGGAAGTGGACCATGAATTGCAACTAATTCATGCAGCCCATCAGGGTTCAAGAGCCTGGGGTCCCTGCATCTGGGGTGGTGCTGGTGTAGGTGGTGGGGGTAAGACTCTGTGAAATAAAGAAGTGAACGAACTCCAGGGGCTCAGGGCAGGAGTTCAAGGCGGTTGTCCAGCTCCACGTTCCACGGCTAGGGAAACGTGGCAGGCTGGTGGAGGTCAAGAGACTTTTCATACTTTCGGACCTCGTCTTCCAGTCAGCAAAGGCTAGTGATCCCTAGCGTCAGGAGCGCGGGCATAGCAGTTTAGCACAACCGGCCCTGGAAAGGGAGCCGCCCCTATATCACGTTCAGGCAGGGCCCTTCTGCGGCTCCCGCAGGAGTGGGTGGGCCGGCACGGGGGTCTATACGATTGGTGCGTTGCCTTCGTCTCAGCCAATGGGCGACGAGTATGTCCCGGGGCGGGGCGGGGCGGACGCCACTTCTTAAGCTTTGTGACGTGCGGCGCAGCTGCGCTCCTCAGGTCGCCACCTTGTGTCGCGGAAGGTTCTTCTAGGCGCAGTCAGGTACCGCGCTGGCCCAGCCCTGCTGGGCTTTGAGGGTGGGACGTGCGGCCGCCGGCGGAAGAGGCTCGGGGCCAGGTTCCGGGAGGAGGCCGGCTTGCGGGCGGCTCTTGTGGGCAGGGTAGCGGCCCATCCTCGTCCCCGAGCGGCGGGCGGCGAGGAGACAGCGAGAGGCTGTAGATGTGGCACCTCCGCCTGCCAGACCGGGCGGAGCCGCCGACTACTGGCTCGCGGCCCTCCAGGGCCGGGTCTCAACCCTTCCCCGGGACTCTCCAAGGCCCGAAGCCTCAGGCCTCGGGGTTTCCGGGAGGGAAGCGTTGGGGGCGCTGGGCGCAGCGGGCACCCCTCGTCCCCCAGGTCGGAAGGTGCTTTGTTGATACAGGGGAACCGCGCAGTCAATGGGTGACTTTGGTCGCGGCCGGGGTCGCTCGTGCAGACTGTTGGGAAAGGTTCCACGCCCTCCCGTGCGGGTTCTGGGCCTCGCGCCAACCCTGCCCGGCCTTCTCGCAGCTTGCCACCCGCTCCATTCTTTGTCCACACACGAAAGAATTTCAGAAATAGATCGTTACTGTGTACACGCCGGTTAATGAGATGGTGTGAAGGCGTTGGGCCAGCAGGACTTGAGCATGCATACTTACCTCGTCCTTAGGGTTCCTTTGCAAATGTTACCGAGCATCAGTAAATTTAACTGAATCCAGTGGAACCACGGCCCCCTCCCTTTGCTACGTTATACCTTGCCTTTTGGTGTTGAGATTTGCCGTTTAGGTAAGTTAAAGTGATAAGGTAGGGAAAAAGAAAGTGACTTTGGAACGAAGTGGCTTTACTAATCTCCAGTTTCTCTGTTCTGAATCTTTCCTGGGAATTTCTGTAAGGTAAACTAGTTCTTGCTCTTGATCCTGGAACTGTTCTTTAGATTGCAGTCCAGTCTTCCTGTCATACATCTGAGACAGAACAGTAGGTGCCTCTCATGGGAATATCCGTGTGTGTGTGTGTGTGTGTGTGTGTGTGTGTGTGTGTGTGTTTCCTGGTTGTTTTTAGAGAATCTAGTTCTTGCCTATGAAAAAGATTCAAGTAGTATCAACTAATAAAAATAAGATTTAGATTACAGAGCTTACAGTTTTTCAGTGTTTTAAGATTAGTTTTGCATCCCCCCCTAAAAAAATCCCGGTATAACTTTAAGTAGTTAAAATTCTTAACGCATTTTTTTGGTCAAAGAGACGGTCTTATATGTTGTGCTGGTAGTACATTTATTTGTGTGCATGTTTTTTTTGGTTTTGTTTTGGGTTTTTTTTTTTTTTTCCTGGTACCGGGAATCGAACTCACAACCTTGCACTTGCCAGGCAGGCGCTGTGCCGCTGAGCTAAATCCTCAGCCCCTGAGTGCATGTTTTATGCCCTTTGCTGAGATCTAGAGGATGGGCCAAATCTCACACATTTTGAAATAATGACGAATGAACAGAAATTTGGAGGTGTGTGGAGGGTGTGGTATCATTGACCCAATCCTTTTTCAGTAGTAATACTTTATTTGCCAGTGACACACTTGAGTTGAATTTTAGTCAGAATATTGATTAAGTAAAGAAAAAAAAAGCTTTTGTTGGCAGAACTTAGAAAAAACCCGTTTTGTGAATGGTTACCTCAAGAAAAGTAAATATTTGACAATCGCAAAAACCAAATTTACTCCTCAGGTTGAATATTTCCAATGACTTGCTGATGACTTTATACACTGATTGTTATTTTAGAGTTATTTAAGAAAATAGTATTTAACAATGCAGGCTAGTTTGGCTCTTCTGAATACAGCCGTTTATGGAAATTGTTTTCTAGGGATGTTCTCATACAGATCTCTTGGGGTGATGGGGAAGGGAGTAAAGGTAGCCTGAAGGAGTGTTATGTGTATTACTTAAAACATTTAATGGTCAAAGTGCTTAGATTGTCAGTAGCAATTTGTTCTCATTTCCAGGAGCTCAGTACCTGTTAAATGCATGACTACATCTTAAAACGTATTATTTTGACCTTTTCAGGCAGGTAGATCTATGATGTGACCTCTTGAAAAGATTTGTTTTTCCAGATAAGGTCAGAGATTGTGATGATAGCTTCCTCTTGGATTAGATCAAGTTGGCTAGGGATAAGTGCTTTAATTTTTTCCAGTGAATTCTAATTTACTTTTATTGTCTTTTTAAGAAGCTTAGAGTCTAGCAGGGGTACAGGTATGAAAGTCAGTGTCCTGAAGTGTTAGGACCTGTGACAGAAATCTGCAAAATTATTGGAATCTGCAGTGAGGGATTTTAGGTGGTAAATTCTATACAAGAAGGTGAAAAAAAACCACTACTGTGTATGTATTTATGTATTATGTATTTATCATTTATGTATTATATAATTTATTATTTATGTATTATGTATTTATGTATTAATGTGTACAAAAAAGTTAATAGTTATCTCTTAAGTAGGCAACTACACATATTTTTCTTGCTTGCTTCCTTTTTTTAATCAAAATTTTATTTTGAAGGAAAAATACTCAGTTTTAAAAAGAAACTATGGCATTTTTTGTACTGTAGAAGTCAACTAGTTCTCTTGTGAATGTAAGAGCAGAAAATGAATAGCCATTTTGTACTCGATTTAGGGCTTTATATGAACTCCTAATCCCCAGGAATGCCCTTGAATGGCTTCAGCCTAGTTTTACAAATAGGAGAATTAAAGTGTAGAAAGATTAACAAAATCACCCAGAGATACTCTTTAAGAGCCAAGGACAACATTTAAATCGTGGCCATTGAACTCTGTGGACTTTCTCATTCTATTCTTCTGATTTTTCAAACCTATTTGGAAGAGGAGATTATTGATATTAGCTATTTTAAAACTATTTTTCATTCTATTCTAGTATTTCTCATATAATGCCAAGCACAGTAACCTGAACCCAAAAGGTTGTTTAATAGAAATGTGTTCACAAGATCATGGAATATCAGAAGCGTGCAACTTGTGATTGTTCCCAGTTGAATTAAATAATTACAGTTCATATTTAAGACCTTGAAGAGTAAGAACTAGTACTATTTTAAATGTTACTGTTTTATCACCATGTTAGAATTATTCTTTAATAAAACTACTTGAACTTAGCAGATAAATGGATCTTCATCGTATTTCTGTTGGGAATTAGTTAAGCAGTTAACTATTGTATAAAATGGGATAATCTCAGAGAATCTTTTCACTTGCAGTCTTTTATGAGCCTATTAATTAGCATAGAAAATGCTGTTCAGTGTGTTTTTAGTATCTTTTTATACTATTTTTGAGTGCCTCTCCTTTTTGCTACTAGTGAGGTCACAGAGCTGCAGACCTTAATAGTAAAATCATCGTGTAGATATTTTAGAATTTGACTCTGTTCCCTAGGAACAGACAGGATTTTGGACCTAATTATCATATTCCGCCTTGCATTTTTTAGGGGTAGTAACTTGTACTTTTCTTGTAACCACATTGTGTTCTCTCAAAGCTTATCAAACCCTTTCTTTTGGTTTTATTTTTTGTGTAAACTTCGTTTGTCTAATTTAACAAAGCATCCTAATTTTTTGTCTGTCAAATATAGCAGTAGTTTGATGTTCTCTAGGTCCTAATTACCTCGGCACCCAGTTTTATTTTCAGTGTTTCTTCTTATAAGTTTTTCATGGTCATTGGAGAAGATACAGAATAGTTAGCTACAGCTGACCTTTCCTGTAGTTTTTCCTTACATTTTTGTACAGTTGAGCATCCTGTATGTATGATTTTATTTTCTTCACTTGAGTAAAAGTTATCACCATGTCATCATTAAAAACTTATTTTAAATGGCTATGCATTATTTACACGATTATGTTGAACCATTCTGTTGAGCATTTTTATGCATGAATATTGTGCATTTATGAGTATTTCTCTATAATGTTATGGGAGTGAAATTGTTGGTTTGAGTACAAACAGTTCTAAGGCTTTTATTATAGCTAACAACTCTTCAGAAACTTGATTCCCTATAGAATACCACTAAGTATGTCTGCGAGAATACATTGCTGTATTTTATTGCTAATTTGATAGGCAAAAATTAACGTTACTTTAATTTTTTAGTGGTGAATGGTTAATTCATATGGAGTAGAGCATAAGGAGTAGAAGAAAGAAATTCTAAAGTCAGTATTTTAGACTTAGTAGTGGTATTTGGGGAGTTGTTCTCTCTAGTACAGTTATACATTTTTGCTCTTGGCTTTCCCTGGCTTAATAATTCTTACATCACTTTTTTTGTTTATTGATACATACCACTTTGAGATAAGATCTGGTGAAAATTATTGACCTTCTCCTTGGAAAAATATACTTTTTTTTTTTTTTTTTGTGGTACTGGGGATTGAACTCATGACCTTGCGCTTGCCAGGAAGGCGCTCATGCCACTGAGCTATATCGCCAGCCCTGGAAAAATATACTTTTGCATTCAATTCTGCATTTTATTTCAGTTACTGGATCCTCTGAAGGCTGTCCCTGGATCTCCAGTGAAAAATCTATATTCTAGCCTGAACGGTGGAAGAAAGAAGAGTTGGTAAGTCTTTGGCAAGTCAGAGTGCTGGATTTTGCTTAGTAATTGTGAATTCCTGAACACTGGGCTGTACTGGATATTGCCAAGTTGAGAGGGAAGTAAGCCAAGTTTACTCGTGTTTTGCTAGCTTGGCAGCTCCGATCAGGAATGCTAAGCGATTATGCATGGTTTGACTTGTTACTGATAGAGTTCTGTTGAAACTTGAATTAGTCTTTTTAAAAATAGGTATATATAGACCTAGTTCTTGGCAACTTTCTCCTGATCTTGAATTTATCTTAAAAACATTTTTCTCCTAGGTATGATTGCTATGTATGTTCTTGCATTTCTTTTTTTTTAGTTTCTTCTGTAACTTATCTTTACTCCTGGCTTATCATGATGCTGAATGGTAAGCTGGATATAGAAGGTGGGTAAAACACTGGCAGGGGACGGATTTAGGGCTGCTGTGGATGGAAAGACTAATGAGTGACTCTGAAATATATAAACAGATGAGTGCTCCTTGGTGTGCTCTGGTTTTGGTACTGGAATTTGTATGACTGCCTGAGCTATAGTTTGTTGTTCTCTAGGTCTTAAGTGCGTTTTTCTCCTTCCAACAGTTGTTTTCCTGATACAACTTTTTTTTTTTTTTTTAGGGAGAAAGCTAGTATCATAGTGAAGTAGAATGTTTCTTTGGGAATTGCCTGCTTTCATCTTTTATATTTGTATAATTATTTTGGTTCAACTTAATGGTAAAATTGCAAAAAACATTTTTTCCTACTCTTTTTTTTTGCCCATTTACCTTTGTTTATAATAAATTTGACCTATAGAAATTTTAGATATTTGTGGCTAAATTATGCTATTTACCTTTTGTACTTTCTTTTGGTGCTAAGCTCTTTCCATTCCCATAAAGTCACCTTTTTCTTTGAGGATGACCCCTATTATCTTTGTAGAACCCAAATCCTTCCCCTCTTTTTCCTCTTTCCTTTCCTTTCCTTTCCTTTCCTTTCCTTTCCTTTCCTTTCCTTTCTTTTCCTTTTCTGTGGTACTAGGCATTGAAGCCAGGATTTTCTGTCCTACAGGATAGGCAAATGCTTTACCACTGAGTTGTATTTCCAGCCCCAATTTCCTTCTCAGTTTCTTCACTTCTCATATACAAGGACCAAGGACTGAGTCAAAATGCCAAATAGAAGTGAGGGTGGTGATGGTGGCCGTGGTGGCATGGCTGGGTACTCCCAGCTATGAGGGAGGGCCAGCCTGGGCAATATAACAAGACACTGTCTAAAGTAATTCTCAGCTCCTCCCTTTTGCCCCATGCTGCTGTCCAACATCCTTTTGCTTTGATTTGGTCCCCTGCCTCTGATTTCTTCCCTACGTGAGGCATCATCAAGCCTGATACTAATTGTGGTAGATGCTCACCAGATGCTTAGGGAGCAGACATGCATTGACTCTGGAAAGGCTCTTACTCTTAGTATCTTCTCTTTTCTCTGGACAGGCCTGTGATTGTCTGTTTGTTTGTTTGTTTTGTTTGAAGGACGCAATGCTTTCCAAGCTAGCACATTTGCAAATCCTTGCTGTACTTCGTCGTGGAGTTCATTCTTCAGTGACTTGTGCCACATCTGTTGCAACTAAGAAGACAGTCCAAGGCCCTCCATCCTCTGATTACATTTTTGAGCGAGAATCTAAATATGGTGCACATAATTACCATCCTTTACCTGTGGCTCTGGAGAGAGGAAAAGGTATGTGTCTCAAATTAACCCCCACTCCTTTTTGCTTGAAATTTTTTTGATAAAAATGAATTGCTTTTGTACTTTCTCAGTATCGATTTCCCCAGATGCATTGAACGCAGATAGGGTTCATGTAGCCTGCCTGTGTGTCTGGTGTGGCTGCACTGGGTGCTGTGTGGCCACAGAGATGATCAGTTAGTCTTTGTCACGGTGTGGCTCACCAAGAGGAAATGCAGGGGAAGTACGAAAAGTACTGTGATATTGCAGTCATCTCTTCCTGTTAGCTTTTATTTTGGTATAATGTTAGACATAGAAGAAGAAAAGTTGTAACAACTGTACTAAGATTTTTCTTTTATCCTTTTTCCAGATTTCTTAAGTGCTGACATTTACCACTTTTGTCATGTTCTCTCCTATCCTTTCTCACTCCCACATACTATACATTTTTTTTTTCTGAACTGTTTGGAAGTTGTAGATATCTTCATCCCTAAACACTTAGTGTATGTTTCCTAAGACACTAGGACTTTCTTTTTTACAACCACATGTAATTACCAAAATCAGGAAATTAGCACCAATAAAGCACCATTATCTAATCTATAGATTAATTTAGATTTAGTATGTTGTCCTTTATTCCACTCAAAATTCTCCCCCTGGCTTTAAGCACACTTATCCCATCATTCTTGCCACTTTCTGAAGCAATTTTGGAAGTCTCTTTTGGTGTCTTTACAAGGTGTATTCAAAAATACAATAACTGAGCATGGTGGAGCATACCTGTAATCCCAGCACTTGGGAGGCAGAGGCAGGATGATTGCCATGGGTTCAAGGCCAGTTTGGACTATATAGCAAGACCGTGTCTCAAAAAGCAGAACAAAAAACAAACCAACCCCCTAAAATACAGTGAATGCTGCTGCTGAATGCCATCCAGTTGTAAGGCAGGGTGATAAAAATATCTGGTACTTTGCAACTTCTAGCTCTTCCCTGAATGCTAAATGACCATGAAAGGAAAATGTTTCGAATTGACAGTATAACTAAAGACATTCATGAAAGAGGACTGCTAGAACTGCTTCACAAGAGTGGCAAGAATGATGGGATAAGCATGTTCAATGTAAGAGGGAGTAGTTCAGAGGGGATTAATGGCAGTGTATGTTTTACTGCAGTAAATCGTTAAGAATTTTTTTAAAAATTCACCATATTATTCGATCATACCTTCTAGATCCTTATCAGATACAAGATTTACAAATATTCCCATTCTGTGGGTTGTAGTAGTTACTTTTCATGATTTCTGTTTGTTATATGTTTGTTTATTATCTGTTTGTTATATTTTTGTTATATGTTTGTTTATTATCTGTTTGTTATATTTCCTTACTTTTGAGTTCTAATTTTGTCTCCTAAATGTTAAATGAGGTGAAGTCAGCTGGATGTGATGGTACACACCTGTAATCCCAGCACTCTTAGAGTCTGAGGCAGGAAGACCACAAGCTTGAGTCCAGTGTGGGTGATTTAGCAAGACCATGTCTCAAATGAAATACAAAGTGGGCTGGTGATGTAGCTCAGTGTGAAGGCCTTGGTTTCAATCCCCAGTGCTGGGGAAAAATTAGGTGGAGGTATCACTCCAGAATTTATAAACTTTCCAAGAGTATTTTGGAGCTGGGTGGAAAATATGTGCTGAATAATTCCTATAAACTATATTTTATTATGCTTGAGCTAAAAAAAACTCAGTCATAAAAAATAGAGTTTTATATGGAGTATTCAAAGGGCTTGCTAGCATTCTTAGCCTTTGTATTTTATGCCATACAATAATTTTCTACAATTATTTCCCTTCCCTATGTGTTGTAGGTATTTATGTGTGGGATGTAGAAGGCAGAAAATATTTCGACTTCCTGAGTGCTTACAGTGCAGTCAGCCAAGGGCACTGCCACCCCAAGATTGTGAATGCTCTGAAGAGTCAGGTAGACAAGTTGACCTTAACATCTCGAGCTTTCTATAATGACGTACTTGGTGAATACGAGGAGTACATTACTAAACTTTTCAAGTATCACAAAGTTCTTCCTATGAACACAGGTAAAGTATTTTCTTTTTGTTGTTCAATACCCAAGGCAAGGCAATAATCTTGTTTTCTGATTGTTTATAGCATTATTTAAACATGTGCACTCCCTCCCGCCCCCGCCTGCAGGAGTGGAGGCTGGCGAGACTGCCTGTAAACTTGCTCGTCGGTGGGGCTATACTGTGAAAGGCATTCAGAAATACAAAGCAAAGATTATTTTTGCAGGTATGTGAAATTAAATTTAACTGTTATAAGTTAAATATACAATATCACTTATACTTTTAATTTGTTGATGAAATATTTCTAATGTGTTTGCCTAGTACATGATAACTTATTTGCTGAATGTTTCATCAAAATCAATGATGGATTTCCTGTCCTTGGATTTATTTCTAAGTTATTTCTTCATATATGAGCTTTGTCTTTCTTAGCTCCCTACTTCTCAGGCTTCCTTGAAATGAGTGATTATTTCCATAGCAGTCTTCCAGTTAATTAGATGATTTGTGATGGAAGGATTTTGTCAGGTGCTAGAATTGGAGTGTGTTGAGGGGGGCCTACATATGAGCTGGCATTTGGCCTTAACCCTGGATATACCATTGTGCTGTGTGCTGCTCAGATGCTGGTAGGAAGAGGAGGCCTGGTGTTGCCCTCTTTACATTTCTGGGAATGGTTGAGAAGAATAACTTGAATTCTGGTTAGAGAGAATTAATTGAGATGATGTAATCTAACTTTCAGAATCTTCATATAATATTAAAATGATAGGTTCTAAGTTTTTAAGCTTTGATTTTAGTTTTCAAAGAAACAAAGTATGTATTACCTTGTCACTGTACATGGTCAAATTTCATGCATGTGATAATTGAAATCATTAACTATTTTTTTGTGAACATATGCATTTTAATTATAAACTCCATACTGTAATAGGATCCAGAGTTCTCTTGATAACTGGAGATAAATGGTATCTGAAATAACAAATTAGTATTTCCAAAGAAATATACAACTCTGTAACTTGCAGTTTTAAAATCTTGTGCCTTAGTTGTAGGACAACGTAACTGTCTCTTACAGACAAAAAATGGTGTTTCTGGTGATTTTCGTTCTCACAGACTGTGTCCAGTCTCTTTCTTTTTAGCAAAGGGTGCAAAGATGTTTTTGCCCAAGTAATGAGAGATGCTGGTGAGTCAGTAGGGTGGAGAGACAGTGGAAGACTGTCCCCAACTGTAAGTTGCTCTTCTTCCACAGTGAGCTGTGGAGGATGAGACACCTGAGGCTAGGTATAGGAGGGCAGATATGTTTATGGTCTCATTAGTGTTTTTTTCTTGAAAAAGCTGGATTAAAATCAATATCCTACTGGGGTGAGATGGCACACACCTATTATCCGAGCACTCTGGGAGGCTGAGGCAGAAAGATCACAAGTTTGAGCCCAGCCTGTGCAACTTAGTAATTTAGTGAGACCCTGTCTCAAAAATAAAAAAGGGTTGAGGATATGACTCGGTATGAAAGCCCTGCCTGGGTTCAGTCTCTGGTGCTACCAACAAAACAAAACAAAACAAAACAAAAACCAAACTAAAGAAAACCAAACCAAAAATTCAATATATTCTGTTTTTGTGGATAAACAAAAGTCAGGGTGTGTAAGTGATGCAAATGAAACTTTCCCAAGAGTAGTAGAGAGGCCAAGAAACAAATAATCCAGTACTGAGTTAACTGAGTTGCTGAAGTGGTAGGAAGATACAAAAGCATTCTTTTTTTTTTTTTTTGGTTTTTGGTTTTTGGTTTTTCTCCGGTACCGGGAACCGAACTCATGACCTTGCGCTTGCCAGGCAGGCGCTTGATACAAAAGCATTCTTAATGGAGACAAATCCCTGTCTTCTGTGATATTGTGCTTTGTTGCTTCTTGAATTTGGCCCTGCCTTAAATTGTGTGGTTCATTAGCTTTTCTGATTTATGTTACAGTGTTTTTCCCTACTAGAAAGGGAACTCCTTGAAGGCGGTGAGCTTGCAAGATGGGATCAGCATTCTTCCCCTACTCATAGTGTAGTGCCTGACACCTGGCAGTACCTAGTTACATTTATTTATGAATAAAAAGCTGCCCTGAAGAGAGGTGGATATCTGCCATCTAACATAAAGGGTTGTAATATCAAGACAAAATGGAAAATGTTTGGATTACCTGAGGTTCTTTTCCTAAGTGAAATTAAAAATGCATTTAGTAGTTAGCCTGCAGTATTGTTTTTTTTTTTTTTTTTTTTTGTACCTGGAATTGAACTCACGACCTTGCAACTTGCTGGGCAGGCGCTGTGCTGCTGTGCTAAATCCCCAGCCCCAGCCTGCAGTATTGAATTTTTAACAGGAAAATTGCTAATTCTTCATGAAGAGTATTTCCTTATATCACTATCCTAAATGCACTTTCTCTGGGAAGCGGGGACTAAGTATCTCAATTGTTAGAGTTTGGTGTTGGGTTGGGATGATTCTAAGAAAAGAAATTATCTAACCTCAGGGATATATATAGCTGTTGGGGTGCAGTATAGAAGAACGTAAAATAGTAATTGCAGGGTCAGGCTTTCAGGCCTAAGTGTTTTATGTCAGAAGTACCATGATATTTAATATCAGATTTTGTTTCAATAATTGAAAGCTCACTGGATAGCTCTCCACAGCAAACTCTTGATTTATTTTTTAGTTTCCTAAGGTATTTTGTGGGGACAGTGCTTTTAAATTTATGAATTTCTTTGGAATAATCACTGTTTCTCCTTTCTAGCTGGAAACTTTTGGGGTAGAACATTGTCTGCCATCTCCAGTTCCACAGACCCAACCAGTTATGAAGGGTTTGGACCTTTCATGCCAGGTTTTGAAATCATCCCATATAATGATCTGCCTGCACTCGAGGTACTTCAGGGGTATTGTGGTGTTTAGCTCATAGTAAATAGAAACTGTTTTGAATGAATTACTTCAGTTGAGTATGTGAATTAAAAATATAATCTGAGAGGTGAGGATGTAGCTCATTGATGGAACACTTGTTTAACATGTACCAGGCCCTGGACTCAGTCCTTAGCACTACAGAACAACAACAACAACAACAACAGCAAAACATTATGTGAATGCAATGAAAAATTATCTTTAAGTTAGTCCAACATTTTAGACTCCTCCTCCTCCCTTTTTTTTCTTTTTTTTTTTTTTAGTGCTGGGGATTTAGCTCAGGGTCATGTGCTTGCTAGGCAAATTCGCTTAGCATTGAGATATATATCCCTAACCCCAAAGAGGACTATTTTGGAAGAACCTTTAAAACGCTTTAAGAGGCTATTTCCTTTAGGTTTCATTTAATGCTACATTTATGTATTAGAAAAATGTAGCATAGTGTTTTTCTTTGTTTTTGTTTTTGTTTTTGGTACTGGGGATTGAATCCAGGGCCTTTGTGCTGAACTACATTTCCAGCGCTTTTTAAAAATGTTTTATTCTGAGACAAGGTGCCACTAAGGTGCCCAGGCTGGGCTTGAACTTGTGATCCTTTTGCTTTAGCCTCCCAGAGTGTTGGATTATAGGCATGCACTACCATGCCTGGCAGATTGTGTTATTTAAACCTGAAGTATTTGGAGTTTTCAGGAACTGAATGTCAGTGACAGCTGTTAAATTTATGAAGTAGTTCAGATTACCAGATACAGGTTTGCAAGATTGATGAAACAAACATGAACTGCTCCTTTCAATAAGCCAGTAGAAATTAGTAGTGTAATTATCTTAGCTATCTTATGTGTATGTATATTTCCCTTCTTTCATTTTTTTGAAGATGACAGTAAGTAGTACAACAACCACTGTTGACTTCCTATCATCTCGTTTTGAAATTCTGTATTGTTTTTATAGTTTTTGTGTTGTTTTTTGTCTTTGTTTTAATTTTGTTTTTGTTCTTTTCTCTTTAAAATGAAAAAAAAATTGTGAAGTACAATATGTTAGTGCAAACATTTGATTTGTGTACTTAACAGAAAAAATATTCTCTATATGATTTCAGATTTCCAAATAAAGTAGAAGGGAAGTTATTAAAACTTCTTTGTTTCTTTTGTAGCGTGCTCTTCAGGATCCAAATGTTGCTGCCTTCATGGTAGAACCAATTCAGGGCGAAGCAGGTGTTGTTGTTCCAGATCCAGGGTACCTAGTGGGAGTTCGAGAACTCTGCACAAGGCATGAGGTTGTTCATCTTAACTATTTCTTTTACTATTTTATTTTTTTTTTGAGATAGGGTCTCGCACTGTAGTCCAGTCTTGCCTTGAACTTGAGGCAATCCTCTTGCCTCAGCCTCCTGAGTGCTAGGATTATAGGTGTGCACCACCATGCCTGGTTTAACTATTTTTTATTTTTCAGACAGGGTCTTCTTGATATATAGTTCAGGCTAGTCTTGAACTCACCAAGTAGCCCAGGCTGGCTTTGAATTTATGGTAATTCTCCTGTCTCAGCCTCCTGAGGCTTGTGCCACCATACTCAGCTTATCTTAACTATTTTTAATGAAGCCCCACAGGCCTGACTTCCTCCATCTTCTTGAATTCTGCTCATGGGATAAGTGGAGACTAAATCACCCTTCCTCTAGAGGTAGACATCTTTCCTAGAGCTCACAAGCTCTTTAGTGCTTAGAAACCTGCATTGGAATCTGTTTAGTCCCTGGAACACTGGCCAGACCCTGGGCTGTGAGTGGAGCTGGGGATCTCCTGGCCCCACGGTGTTTCCCTCCTCTCTCCTCTAGGATCGTGGCATTCTTAATCCCTCACAGTCCTGGTGCTGTCCCTCTTTGCACAAGTTATGACCTCTCCTCCCTCCCAGTAAGGCTAATCCTCATGAATTTTGTTTGTCATTGATAATTCCTGTCACATAAAATAATTGATGAATGTTTATGGAGTAACTGAGTGAATTAACTTATCCCAGAAGGTAGCTATAGCCAAAAGAGTGCTATGAACCCCTCACGTTTATATGAACGCCTTTCCACGTCTGTAGAGCAGTGGATGGGGCCCCTAAGGAGGAAGTGGCCTGACACAGGAAACAGTTGGTGTGTTTACAGGATTTTCGTAAGATGTTCTTAAAATTATGTGGATGATTAAACATTTTCACGAGAGAGGGCATGACAAAACTACACATTTGTGGGGAGGGGGAAGTAATATACTGATTGCTGTTTTCCCTATGGAAATGAAAATAACAGCATTGTATTGTTTCCCAATAGGTCCTGTTTATTGCTGATGAGATACAGACAGGGTTGGCCAGAACTGGTAAATGGTTGGCTGTTGATCATGAAAATGTTAGACCTGACATAGTTCTTCTTGGAAAGGCCCTTTCTGGAGGCTTATACCCTGTAAGTTTAATTTTCAGCCTTTCTTTCCATTCCCAGCTGTCCTGAAATACAGCTCTAAAATATTTCACACCCAGTGATTATATCAAGAATGTCTTTCAGATGGTTTGATTTTTACCAAATGTGCTATGGCCTCCTGAAATATCTACAGTAAAAATATTTAAGGTTTCAGTTATGTGACTCAGTTAATTTTGATGGAAAAACTGGAGTATGCTTTGGAATTTCCTTATGGCCTTTGATTAGGATTGAAACATCTTAGCTGTAAAGTACTGCTGTAAGTGCCTGTGTCCTTCTTTTCAGTATTTAGAAACATGGCCTTCCGAATTGTTTAAAGTTGTAACTTTATAAACAGTTGGGATTGAAAACATTAATGCTTTATTGTGGTTCTTTTCTTGGGTTTGCTAGCCAGCATTAATACTGGGGCTGGATTAAAGGGGTCTGAAGGATGGATGCTTCTGCTGACTAGAATAAACTGTCTTGTTGAAGAGGATGCTCAACTATGTTTTCTAAGTGGTTAGACAAAGCATTTCATCTTGAAATTGGAAAGGATTACAAATTATATTATTGCAGAAATGGCCTTTCTCTCTTAGTTCCAAAATTGTATTGTTCTATTCCATTGAAGTGTGTCTAATGTATTCCTGTTGTGTTAGGGTATTACTATGGTTATTACTGGTAGTTAGGTGACATTTTTTGAAGCTTTATATAAATTTAATATCAGCTTTATATAAATATTTATGTTGCTGGTGTGCTAAGAGTAGGAATACTTAGCCTGAGGAAACAATGTGGAAAATTCTGTTTCAGGTGTCCGCAGTGCTATGTGATGACAACATAATGCTGACCATTAAACCAGGGGAACATGGGTCAACGTATGGTGGGAATCCCTTGGGCTGTCGCGTGGCTGTTGCAGCCCTTGAGGTAAGAATTGATATAGCCTAATGGTATCTATTTGTTTAAGTAATGTTGGGGTGATTTTTCATTTGGGCCTATAATGAGAAATTTAATAAGATTGCTGAGTATAAGAGAATGTGATGTACAGAGGCAAGATTTTAAGAACAAGGTATTTCTCAAAAAGAAATCTAACCATTGCCTTGTCTAGTAGACTGGGCTTTTTTTCTGGGCTTCCTGAATTTGCAGTCCTGGGGTTTAGAGACCTTAGCTTGACCCTGAGGGCTGGAGGGTCTGGCCCTATGATAGAGTGAGGGCTTAGATACCTGAGGTACTGGGTTTGATCCCCAGCACCACGAATAAATAAAAATAATAAACGCGATGTGCTTGTGCTTGTCTATAACTGGGAGGTTGTGGCAGGAGGATTGCAAGTTTGGAGGCCAGTCTGGGTAACTTAGTGAGACCCTGTCTCAAAACAACAAAAACAAAGAAAAAATGGGACTGGGGATATTAG